CCGATCTCTAGTGTGGTTGCAGAGATGGTACTCCAGCGGCTGGAACACATAGCGATGGCCCAACATCAACCAAAATTTTGGGCCCGCTATGTGGACGATACGTTTGCGGTCATTAAGAAAAGACACAAAACTGACTTTATGGGCATCCTGAATTCGGTATACCCGGACATCCAATTCACCATGGAGGAAGAAGATCAGGGCAATCTAGCATTTTTGGATGTACTAGTGCAGCGCCAGGTGGATGGATGTCTAGCTACCAGGGTATACCGAAAACCAACGTGTACAGAGAGGATCCTCCACTTTAGGAGTAATCACCCGATGGCCCATAAAGCCAGTTGTGTCAGGACGCTATTCAAACGAGTGGAAACACACTGCAGCACCGTCAAAGCCAAAAAAGAAGAGAGAAACCATCTCTTCCGAATATGTAGAGGCAACGGCTACCCGGTAAAAATCATTAATCAGTTCAGGAGACCACCTGAGCTCCAGAGTAACCCTGCATCTCAAGAACCCGTGCCTCAAGCCACCACACGTATTGCCCTCCCCTATATCCATAATGTATCGGAAGCCACAGCTAGGATCCTGGCACCACACAAAATACAGGTGGCCCATAGACCCAACCAAACACTACGAGCGGCCATAATGCGCCCTAAGGACCCACTCCCCAGTACAGAAAGATCAGCAGCCGTCTATAGGATTGACTGTACGGACTGCCAATGTAATTATACTGGGGAGACTGCGAAACGCATTAAGACCAGGGTCCACGAGCGTGAGAAGGAGGGATTGTCATTCCCAAATATGGGCCCATATGGTGGATCTAGGCCATAAGTTTAACTTTAGTGACGTCAGTGTATTGGCGAACGATAACACCAAAGGGGGCCGCCTCCTCAGAGAGGCATGGCTCTCAGACAGTAAGTCTATTAATAGGCACATTGACCTATGCCCATCCTATCTAGCCTTAAGGTCATGGAGTGCTAATAATCAGCGGCAACACCCCCGACGACCTTATAACAATCTGGACAACACCTGCACTGCCCAACGAACCAGGCGCAATTTGAAAGAAGGGAAACAAACGCGAGGCACCTCGACCATCCCCGCGGGACTGCCGCAATCCCAGAAGATCAGGGGAGGGACAGGAACCAAGGTCCAGACCCCCGGCTACAAAGAGGAGATGAGGGAAGATACGGCAGGTGGAAATGCGGATGAATCACCAAATGCAATAGCCTGCCCACACACTAAAAGAAACATCGCAGCTGGTCGGAAAAGGAGGAGAAGACCCCCCCACGTAGTTGGAACGATCAACTCCTACGAGGACAAACCACAGGAGGTGGTTGAGGATGACCCCCTACATACTGTTAGGGAGGAGGAAGGAAAGCCGGAGAGCGACAAGGGGCGAGAGATCGGGTCGTTATACCCCCTACCTGACGATCCTGAGGACTCCCATAGAACATACGCGAGCGCTTTCAACAAGGTAAAAAAGGGGAGAACTGAAGAAGAACACTGTAACCAGGAGGGACGCACCTCGATGGCTGTGCACACACCCCCAGGATTGAGCACTCGGAGTAAGACACGCGCGAGACAGCTGGGCATGACAACGAATAAGAGACGATCCCTCCACCATGCAGAATACCTTCCCACGCTACACCAGACTCGTAACAATTTACGGGACTATCAGGATGATAAACATATTAAAACCGAAAGCACTGAGACCGGAAACATATGGGACTCTAAACATAACAACCAGACAGAACGGGGTGGAGAAAGGAACTTGGATTGTCCACCATCACCTAAGCCTGAGGGGAGATCGGAACATGAAAGCAACCGAAATAACTGGAATTGCCATTCAGCTAATCTGAGGTTGGGAGAACTGGAGACGGACGAGGATAAAAATACAACTAAGAAGAGAAAAAAAGCGCAAGCCAACTACACACGGCTGAACCAATCAGGCCCCGTAACAAGATCAAGGAGCCGAGCGCAAACCTCGGTACGCCTATAAAAAGACTTTCTCATTCTCTGGCGCGCCAGCCCTGAGGATGCCGGCAGGTGACGGCGAAAGCTTGGCGCTTTTTAAAACTTTTATAGTTTTAACCTATTAAAAACTTCTATAGTTTTTATTACCCTAGTGTTAATTTTTATATTTTATTATGAATATCCCTAGGGTTCACATTTTTAACCTTTTTAATCGCATATATATATATATATATATATATATATATATATATATATAATATATATATATACATATACATATACATACATACATATACATATATATAACAATAATAAAAACATATATATGTTTTCTGAGATTTTTGCAGGTGTTTGTATGTAGGTCTTTGGTTATTTGGGTTTTCTCCCGCATAAAATTGGAAGTGTCTTGGCGACGTTTCGATGAAGTCCCATTCGTCGTCTTCAGGCTGGAGTTTTCAGCTTCGTGCTTCGAGGAGCAATGTATGGTCTTAGCTGTTTCTTCCTTTTAACTGCCAGTTCCAGTTTATAGAGATCATAAAGAAACGAAACTTACAGCCCAGCAACCTACTTGTGAGCTTCGATGTCATATCCCTCTTCACCCAAGTGCCTATCAAAGAAGCCTTAACAGCTATTCAAAACAAATATAACCCCCCAAACACATCTTAGATCTGACCAACCACTGCCTATCCAACACATACTTCATCTATAACAGACAAAAATACAAACAAACAGAAGGAGCACCCATGAGATCACCCCTCCCACCTGTCATTGCAAACCTCTACATGGAACACTTTGAAACCCAAGCTCTAGAAAAATCGGATCACAAACTCAAACTCTGGCTCAGATACGTAGACGACACCTTCATAATCTGGCCACATGGGAAAGAAAAACTGGACAACTTCCTCACACACTTCAACAGCCTACACCCCAAAATACAGTTCACCATGGAACAGAAGCTAATAACCAACTTCCCTTCCTGGATGTCTTAGTCTACAAGAAATCCAATGGGTCCCTAGGACACACCATCTACCAGAAGAAAACACACACAAACCGCTATCTGCATGCTCTCTCACACCACCACCCAGCACAGATCAACTCCGTAGCCAAGACACTCATCTCCAGAACAAAACGCTTAGCTGACAAACAACACCTAAAAACCGAACTATACACTCTCACCAATGTACTAACATCCAATGGATTCCAAAGAAATAAGATTACAAATCTAATCCAAAAAGAAACCCCCACTAAAATCCAAGACAGAGAGCAAGAAAACGGCAAAGCCCTCCTCCCATACATAAAAGGCACCACAGACAGAATCAGCAAGATCCTCCATAAACACAACATCAGTCAAAAAAGAGGAACCAACATCTTCCCTGGTCCAACACCTTAAAGCCACAGGACATGAAATTGACTTTAAAAAGACCAGAACTATCGCCAAAAGTGAACATTTTAATAACAGAATAATCAGAGAAGCCATCGAGATAGAAAAATGGCCACACAGCATGAACAAACGAGATGATACCTCCCGCCTACCAGCCATTTGGAAACCCACCCTTATTGACAAACGACTCCCTAATACAAAAAATGACACCAGACCCACACTCACAAAAACCATACAGGATGTCACCATCACACATCCACGCAAAAAGCAAACCCAAAGCCACACCGATAATGAGGCATGACCACAAACCAGAAGCCAGACCACAGCTGCATCATTAGCCACTTTAAACCCCTCCAATCCATACATGAAGCAAACTGACACCCACCATGAAGATGAGGCATGACCACGAACGCGAAGCCAAAAAATAGCAAGGCAGCCCACCATCTTAACTCCCCCTGCAACTCAGACTAACCTGAGCACAACAAAGCCCCCACCCAAACAGAACACTCCCCCAGCCAATCAGAGCACAGCCAACCCCCCCAGCCAATCAGCCAAGCCCCTAACCAATCAGAACATACCTCCACCCAATCAGAACACAGTCAAGCTCCCACCCAATCAGTTCATAGCCCCACTGGCAGTTAAAAGGAAGAAACAGCTAAGAGCACACATTGCTCCTCGAAGCACGAAGCTGAAAACACCAGCCTGAAGATGACGAATGGGACTTCGTCGAAACGTGTCAAGACACTTCCAATTTTACGCAGGAGAAAACCCGAATAACCAAAGACCTACATATATACACATATATATATATATATATATATATATATATATATATATATATATATATACACATACAAACATACATACATATATCCCACAGCTTCTTTTCTGTACCCCCCAAAATATAAAGACAAAGCTTAAAACCAGGAAAAATCACACAGAAGTCGCTCAGAGTAAAAGAACAACTCCTGTTTTTTCCCTCCTCTAAGCTGTCAGATAATAGCCGCAGGCAAACTGACCATGTTTCAGCTTAAAGAAACAATTTTGCAATCAGTCATCTGCTGGCTACTGCAAAAAATAGATTTACAAAGAGAGCTTGCTAAAGACAATAGTTAGACTAAGGATAAGGGGATAAAATTAATTACATCTATTTGACAGGATTAAAACTCAAGGAAGCCAGTATTTTAGACCCATTGCTAGCCTTTGCAAAACAGGCTAAACTAATCTAATAACAAAGGCAGACAAAGCAAGCCTCCAATTACAAAATGTTGTAACACTGTATACAAATCCTTGTATTCATCAAATCAAGCTGTCAGCTGTCCCAGAAATGCATGCTGTTGTTGGTCCTGCTCATCATTAATCCTTCTTTCCTAAGCAGCTTGTCTCCATTTTATTTCCAGCATCTTAGCCTCCATTTTATTTACTCCTGGCTTGGAACTGGATCTGATGTTTCTTTCAACGCAGTATATATATAATTATTATGTTAAAAGAGGAGGCACTGTTTTTATTTCTTTGAAAAACGGTTCTAAACTTATTGTGCGCATACAATCTTTTTTTTTCCTAGCCTGGAGAAATCACAAAGTCAAATCCTTTCCAATTGGTTGTTGTCCTCTTGCATGCAGTGTGTTTTGTATAATCTTCCAGTTTCTACCTGTGGGATTTTGTAGATGCCCAGAAGGGCGGCAATCTGGTTAGAAATTTCAGAGTCGGCCCGTTCCAAAACAGCAAGCAGAAGATTTGGTCTTCCACAGCTGTAGTTAGGAACACTGCTTTTTCCACCAGCAAGCAGATCTATCACAGCGTCAGAAGTGATTCTTTTTTGGGAGTAGTTCTCGTAGAGATTGTAGCCCAAGGTAATGTTTGGTGAGAACCCAGAGTTCTGACTGATCTCTTGAATGGCAAACCAGAAGGACAGCACATGCCAAAATCTCATTTGTGACTCACTGCCAAAAATATAGGTATATTAAGACAGGTAGATGTTCAAATTGTCATCCCGGTCCTAGTAAAATTTAGAGCTTGTCCCATGCCCTAGATCAGAGTGGGGAACGATGGCCCTTTTATGATTTGTGGACTTGCTGGCTCAGGTATTCTGGGAGTTGAAGTTCACAAGTCATAAAGGGGCCGTTGTTCCCCATCTCTGCTCTAGAGCAATATTTCTCAACCTTAGAAGATAGAGTCTTTGGAGAAAAGCTATCTAGGTGATAGTTCAGAGTCAAGACCAGTGGTGGGATTCATCCAGTTTGCACCAGTTCGGGAGAACTGGTAGCTAATTTTTTGTTGCCTAGGCCCAGATTGGACTTCTGGAAGCAGCATCCACACAGAGAACCAGTTGTTCACATATTTGAATCCCACCACTGGTCAAGATTTATTTGATAGTTCATCAATCAATTAAATGAATTGATTCCTTCAAACAAGAGTATTTTGTTTTCAGGTTTCCTCCAGAAAAGATCTGACACAAGATCAGGTATCCTTAATAAAAGAAATGGTCACAGGGATTCTTGGATTTTTGGAAGAAAAGACTACCGTATATGCCGGCGTACAAGGTGACCCGGCGTATAAGACGACCCCTGTCTTTATCGCCGGGCCGCATCCCTAGAATGTCATCTTATACGCTGGAAACTACCAGTGTAAGACGACCCCCGTCTTTGGTGCCGATTTTAGTGCTCGCGGAAGTCGCCTTATACACCGGCATATACGGTAATTTTTAGCAGCTAAAATAATAACTGCCCATCATTGGAAAATTCTAGCAACTGAGATGTGGGCTAACAAGGCTTCGTCAATTACTACACTGAATAGTCTGGTTTCTTATGATTTTCTTTTTCTTCAACAAAAGAACCAATCAGCTGCTCAGAATTCAAAGATCAACTGACCTAGTTTGGTGACAAAACGTTCAGAAATTATATTAAAACAAGCATGGAGAACAAACCACAACTAAAATCTAAAACTCAAGCTACAAGGATTCTCTATTATTGCAAAGTTATATGGGCATAAACTTATTGAGGCCTGGTATTTCATCAAAAGAACAGTTAACAAACATATTGATCTAGATCCAATATATCAATATGTAAGAAACCAGACCATTCAAAGTGCCAATCAACAAAAGAACCAATCAGCTGCTCAGAATTCAAAGACCAACTGACCATTCTGGCACACAAGACATTTAACAGCTAAAGAGAAGAAGACAAGAAAATCCTGTTGATGACGTTACCTAGTTTGGTAACGAAACATTCAGGAATTATATTAAAACAAGCTTGGAGAACAAACCACAACTAAAACACACTTTCCTTAATGAAGGAAGTAAATCTGAGAATTTGCCTCCACTAAAGCTCTATTCCCCAACCCACCCCAGCAAAAGCTGTTTCTCTTGGAGCAGCCATTTCACAGGCTCAACATTACCTGTAAAGCTTCAGCTGAGGACACTTGGAAAAGACAAATGGATGAAAGAAACCAATTTTTGGAGAGATGATGCCGCTTATGATGTAGCTTCCAGGTCTGTAGTAACTCCCAGCCTTGTGTTCATCTTGGACCAGATTCAGTGGGCATTTTACCCTCAGGGCTCCGTAGGATGCTGTGGGCAGCAGCCAAAACAGGAAGAAGATGAGGAAGACGAGAAGAGCCATTTTGACTTAAAGTCAGCTCCTTTCCCACTGTTGTCACTGCCTTGTCTTCGCTGCCCCAAATGGGAGTCCACCAATCCTTCACAAGAAGGAAGATATTTCAAGAGCAAAGAACATGTTTGGTTGTGGAGCTTTTTTTTTTTTTTTTGCAATATACAGTCACAGCAAGGTAGCAATGCTTTGCTGACCTTGACTGATCCTGAAGAAGCCAAATGTTTGACTTAGCCAATGGAACAGGCTGCCATGTGATAAGGTGGTTTGTCATTCATTCAAAGTCTTCCAAGAGACATTAGATGGACATCTGGCTGAGACAATCCTGTACTGAGCAGTGAGTAGGACTGGATGATTCCCGTAGTCCTTTCTGGTGCCACAGTTGTAGGAATACGTAGATGAAAAATCACCAGGACCATGGAATGGAATGGAATGGAATGGAATGGAATGGAATGGAATAGAATAGAATAGAATAGAATAGAATAGAATAGAATAGAATAGAATAGAATAGAATAGAATAGAATAGAATAGAATAGAATAGAATAGAATATATGGAATGGAATGGAATGGAATGGAATGGAATGGAATGGAATAGAATAGAATAGAATAGAATAGAATAGAATAGAATAGAATAGAATAGAATAGAATAGAATAGAATAGAATAGAAAATATGGAATGGAATGGAATGGAATGGAATGGAATAGAATAGAATAGAATAGAATAGAAAATATGGAATGGAATGGAATGGAATAGAATAGAATAGAATAGAATAGAATAGAATAGAATAGAATAGAATAGAATAACTTTGTCATTTTAAATGTACACTAATTGTACATGAAATTTCATTGAATACAGCTCTCAATGGGTCACCACCACCAATATACACTACATAAATATGACCAAAAAAATTTGCACATACCCACGTAGTTTGGATGTATACATGTACATGGCAAGAAAAACGAATCTTGCAAGTTTACCAGATGGATGGCATAGCGAGTAAAGCTGTAATTTGGTTCCTCTTACCACAGCAAAAATTCACTCATGGACCGTGAACCAGTCACCATTTTTCAGCCCAGCCTAGGCTGCAGAGCTGTCATTAAATAAAAAATAACGGGGAGGAAGCCACGCTAATAAACACCACCTTAAACTCCAGTGAAATGGTGGGGTAGAAAATCAACAATCCAATAATTAATATAAATCAGTGTATGTTTGAAATGGTCTGAATATAACCCTATGTCTGAAATGGTATAGAGATTTTTTTTTTTTTGCTTGAACAGGGTTGGACTAGAAGACCTCCAAGTTCCCTTCTAACTCTGTTTTTCTGCTATTCTATTATTGTGCTAATACCTTTATGATGCTTTTTGTAGCCATTCTTCCTTTGCATTCAGTCTAATAACTTTAATATTGTAATCTTAACTTAGTTCCCTGAAATAGATGGATGTTAATGGTACCAATGTCTTGTTGGAGTTTTAGTGGGTTTCTCTTTAGTGACTTAAATCTGCATGCTGCCCTGTGATAAAGAACAGAGGCAATTTTGAAGTGGAGCATCAAAAGAAAACACAAAATTGGATAACAATTCAATCTCGTGGCAGCTGTAACTTAAGTGGCTTAAGTCTGCACTGCTGCTATATAACTCTGTTCTGGGACTATTTAATAATAATAATAATAATAATAATAATAATAATAATAATAAAAATGGAAGGTTAGACTAGAAAATAAGATCAGCAAGTTAAGATCACATACAAGCAAGCTAGAACAGATGAAAGAAAAGAAGCTGAAGAACAAGAAGACCAAAGAATACCTAATCAAGAAATACCACTCAGAAACAAGGAAGATGAAGGAACACTGGAAATAATAAAGCAACAAATAAAGCTATAGCCAGGAAAATCAGTAGATATGAAACTTGAATTGCAAACTATAGGCAGAACCTCCAATTTCAATCCAATCAGAAATGTTTCTACCAATCCGTCAATGGAGAAACTGCAATGAATCAGTCAATACCTGACAAGGAAGAAACAGTGCAGTTCTGGAAGCAGATATGGGATGACCCAAAGAAATACAACAAGGATGCGGCTTGGTTAAAAGAGGTGGATGCAAATAAAACAGAAGTTGAAATGAAAGAACTAGTAATAACAACAAAAATGGTAGAAAAAAGAGCAAGGAAAATCAAAAATTGGTCAGCACCAGGCGAAGATGAACTGCATGGGTTTTGGATGAAACATCTAACTGTTATACACCCACTCATTGCCAAGCAGTTCAACAATATACTACAAGGAGGAGAAATTGAAATGTGGCTAATAACTGGGAAAACCTACCTAATAATGAAAAATCCAGCAAAAGGGACAACACCAGGCAACTACAGGCCAATTACCTGCTTACCAACAACTTTCAAATTACTAACTGGTGTGGTAGCTGATGCAGTACAACAGCATCTAGTTGAAAACAATCTCTTTCCACCTGAGCAGAAAGGAAACCGCCCCAATAGCAGAGGAACAAAAGATCAACTCCTAATAGACAAAATGATATTGGAAAACTGCAAGAAAGGAAAGACCAACTTGAATGTGGCATGGATTGGCTACAAAAAGGCATTTGACTCTCTGCCACATGACTGGATAATCAATTGCCTAGAAATAACAGGAGTCAGTAGAAACATCAGAAAATTTGTGCAAAGATCGATGGCACAATGGAAGACAGAGTTGCAGATCAATGGTGAGAGACTGGGAGAGGTTAATATCAAGAGAGGAATATTTCAAGGAGATTCATTGTCACCATTACTATTTGTTATTGCACTGTTTCCTCTGTCAACAATACTGAATAACTCAGGACATGGCTATCAAACATCAAAAACATCTGCCAGACTATCCCACCTCCTTTATATGGATGATCTGAAGCTGTATGGAAAAACATCATCTGAAATAGAATCGCTGCTCAACACTGTCCGTATATATAGCCAAGATATTGTTATGGAGTTTGGCTTGGACAAATGTGCCACACTTACTATCAAACAAGGAAAATAGTGAAAACTGAAGGAATCAAGATGCCCCACGAAAATAACATTAAGAGTCTGGATGAGGAAGAGTACTACAAATACTTGGGTATCCTTCAAGCTGACAACATCAAGCACATTGAAGTCAAGAAAAAGATTAGAAGTGAATACATCAAGAGAGTGAAGAAGATCTTAAAGTCCAAACTCAATGGAGGAAATACCATAAAGGCAATCAACACCTGGGCAATTCCAGTCATTAGGTACACAGCTGGAATAGTGGACTGGACTCAAGCA